CGTATTCCAACCTTTCTCGAGTTGCAACCCCCTTTTTTTTTTTTTTTTTTTTTTTTACATTCGAATAATAACCGGCCACGACACTTTCAAACTCTCCTTTCTCCAAATTTCCAGAAAAATATATATATATATATAGATAAAAACCGATAAAAAGTTACGAGTCACGACTCAAAGGTTGGGAATCACTGGTTCGTCTTGGAGAAACGCACGACGGTTATATATCCATTATGGAAAAGATACAGGGGCAAAGAACAAAAAAAAAAAAAAAGAAGAAAAAAAAGCTGGTCGATCGAGCGAGAGAGAAACAGGAAGAATGGGTGTTTCCAGAAGATGGACTCTGCTCGATCGAGACGGTGGGGAATTTAGACACGGTAGGAGAAATGGCGGTAAGTGGTGCCACCTGGCAAACGACCGGAAGTGTGGGACTCGTAGGAGGAATGATAGCTTCCAGGAGCGCCGCCACTCGATGTCCTGGTCGATCTCTCAGTCGAGTAGGATCCGTAGGGGCCGCTCTCCCTCTTGTACACGCTCTCCTCGCTGTAGCTAGACTTGTGCGGGCGGCGACTGTACGGATCCGTGGAGGAGGAGGAAGACGACGAGCTGGTGTTGGTGTAGGCATAGCTGTACTGCTCTTGAGCAGACCTCACCCCGACTTCCGGATAGTCACGGACCACGTAATGCCGAGGCGTCTATAGATTCGGGTTACACAAGGTCAACAATGTGGAGAACAGAGGCGTTTCCGGAGAACAGAACTCGATCCCTTTCCATTTCTCGAATAATTCGAAAGCACAATTCTTCCCTTCGTAGAATCTCTTTCTCTAGCTGTATATGTGTATGTACGTGTGTGTATATATACACGTATATAGCTAGAATTTCGATCGATTTAATTTGCTAAGTTTTCATTGGCTCTGCTCTCCGTCTTTTGGAATAACATATACTGGAAAAGAGGACATTGTGTGTCAGGTTGCGAGAAATAAGAAAGTTTGACGAATCGTATCGGTTTTGCGAATTATTGCCGAACGTTAATGCGATCACGTTGGAAAATTTTTAAAATCAGGTGGATTGGATACTTTCGAGGCGAGCGCATACGTTCGACGATACGATTCGCAAATTCGCAAAACTTCGAATCATCGTCTGATTCATCTCGCTTGCGTGATCGATTGAAATTATCGA